CACGCTAATAATCAGCATGAGTAAACCATTAATTCATCATTCATAAAGCATTAATACATTAATAAGCAGTTCATAAATACAGCTATAAATGCTTTCTTCTTGATTTAAAAGCATATCTATAATTTGTTTAATAATTTTATTTTTTCATCCTTTATTACTGATCAATTTATCATTTCTAAATGAAGAATTGCATTTTTTATGAACCAGTTATTTAAGAGTTTTCAGTGGTTCATACGATTACTTAGAGCGAGTAAGTAAATGATTAATAAACTATTTAAATGTACATTCATACATCTTATTATTCAGACATATAGTGATGGTTACTTAATGTGTTAATAAAGGCTTTATTAACATGTATTAATGCTGTAATTAAGTGTTAATTTGGGTAGTTATAAAGCATTTAGTAGTGGTCAGTTAACTATGTTCGTGAGCTCATCTAAAGTGAGGACTAGTCATGCCTTGTAAAGCATTTTTAAAGGCTGTTAAATATTTCTATGTTCTGTATCACTGCGTTGTGTTTGTTACATTTTACTGTTTAGAAGATTGACGAGTCTTTAAATCACCTTTATAAATGCTTTACAAAGCATTAGTCCTCACTTTAGATTAGGTCACAAAAATAGTTAACTGACCACTACTAAATGCTTTATAACTACCCGTATTTACCACATTTACTTACACTTTCTAAGTGATCTTATGAATGACTGACAACTCTTAAACAACTGGTTTGTAAATGCTATACTTCATTTAGAAATTATTATTGATCATTAACAAAGTATGAAAATACAATCATTAAACGCATTATAGATATGCTTATAAATCAAGAAAAAAGCATGTATAGCTATATTTATAAACTGCATATTAATGTCTATTAATGCTTTATAAATAATGAATTAACGGTTTACTCATGCTTAACTAATGATTAATAGCGTGCAGTTATTATAAAGTGTTACCGCTAATCCTATAGCTTTGTGTTAGCAATGAAGATTAAAGTTAGAGTAGGCAACTTCGAAGAGGCTAGCAATAATACATTAGCTTTGAAAGCATAAGATCCCACCCTCCCTTTCTCTCAAAATGGGGACAGAAGAGATGTCAGTCAATAAATGTGAAAACAAAGTAACTTTGCATAGCTTTACTCATTACATGAAAAAAGTAATCTGATTACGAAACACGTTACTTGAGATGCGTTACCCCAACACTGTTAAATATTTCAAAATATTTATTTACTGCACATTATACAGTTGGGTTGCCTAAATTTACTTATAGCCTTTAAAATGACTGATTTTATTTTTATTGTTTTAGTTTTAATTTATGTAGATTAAATGGTACCGAATTACATAAAAATGAAAATCGACTTATCTCTATCCAACAGAATTTTAATGTATGCGAAATTGCGAATCCCTAGCAGTTTATCCAGCAAGAATTATTTTTTTTAATGTCTGTATAAAAAATGACAAATAAAGAAAATTGAGATAGAGAAGAAAGAGGAAAAAGAGACTAAGATGTAGACAGTCTTTCTTCACTGCTTAGTTATCTCATCTGCCTGAACAAAACACTTATTCAATCTCTTCGACACGCTTCACTGCACACAAAAACACTTTCACCTTTAGCACAGGCACAGTTTCCCAAACACGACGCTATTTATTTCTGTCTGTAAAGGAGCCCAGGGCTCCCGTAATTAGTGTGTTTTTAATTAGTTTGCCGTAAACTATTAAGACGGCGCGAAACCCCAAATCCTAATCACAAGGAAGGTTCAACTGCCCTCGGTCCATTAGCGCTAATAATGTACACCTTTAGAGAGGCTTGTTGTGGAAATATGGAGAACTTCTGATTCTTTATCTGTCTTTAATTAACATTTTTTTTATTATTATTATATTTTCTCCTTCTGATTTCTCTGTGGTGGCTTTACTGGAAGCAGCATTAGAACAAAAAAGGACGGTTTCCGTGTTAAGAAACGTCATTTTTACTGCCTGGAGTTAATTAACCTTTGGGTTTGACAGAGAACAGTGTGTACAACATGCTCATCCCACCAAGTCTTGGTTCGGCTTTACAGAAATCTATTATTTTCTCCTGGGTCTTTTACTGGGATCAAAACATTAAGATCATTTTCATGTCAATTCATCGCTTGAATTGTATTAAGGATTTGTCAGCTTGTCAGCTTGTCAATGTTAGGCAGGCATGATGCAAAACAGATTGTTGGGGTTAAACCACGGTAAAAACCCGGAGTGTCACCGCTGTCGCCTTTCCCCCCTGAGAACAGATAAAACATCCGTTGTGATTATTGTTTGTTTTGGCATTTTATTGCATTTCAAATTACAATGACAATGTGTCAAGCCGTCGTTCTACAAGAAAATTCATGTCGAAACCGTTTCCAAATTCATTGCTTAGATACAGCTGAATAGAACTAAACAGAAGCATTGTTTGATCACAACGGTGCACCTGTCTGGTTTGTAAACCTGTCTACCTGCCCGTCTGCCAGCTTCAATAGGTCCAGCTGCTGTTTGTTATACACAAACCTTGTCAAAGTGTTCAAATGTTGTGTTCCAGTATAATAATAATAATAATAATGAATTTTATTTGTAATGCACTTTACACATGACGAACATATCTCAAAGTGCTACAAGTGTACAGATAAAAATAATAAGAATAGATATAAAAACATGCAATGACAGAATTAAAACAACAGACTTAAGAACAGTCAGTTAACAACAAAAGCAAATATAGTTTAAGAAAATGCAGTTAAAAATAGGTGGGTCTTTAGTTTATTTTTAAAAACCTCTATAGACTGTGGCGCTCTCAGGTGATTAGGTAGAGCGTTCCAAATTCGAGGTGCAGCTACCTGGAAGGCCCTGTCTCCCATAGTGCGGAGTTTAGACTTAGGAACCTGGAGTTTGTGAGTATCAGAAGAGCGGAGATGTCGGGATGGATTATGAATATTAATGAGTTCTGTGAGGTACTCTGGTGCGCTACCGTGGACGCACTGATACGTTAGGAGACAGATCTTATAATCAATCCTAAATCTGACAGGGAGCCAATGGAGTTTTTGGAGGATAGGTGTGATGTGCTCGAATCTGCGCACCCTCATCAGGACCCTGGCAGCGCAATTCTGAATGTACTGCAATCTTTGCATGCTACTGCCAGGGATCCCAACGAGGAGTGAATTGCAAAAGTCAAGCCTGGAGGAGACAAAGGCATGCACCAGCATTTCTGCATCAGAAAAGGAGAGGGAGGGGCGGAGTTTGGAGATGTTCCGGAGATGAAAAAATGCAGTTTTACAGATGTGTTGGATGTGAGTATTAAATGATAAATGGGCGTCAAATCGTACCCCCAGGTTTACTATGGAGGATGTCAAATGAATGTCATGGCCAGCAAATGAGTAAACGGTCAGGGGGGGGGAAGATCGGAGTTGGTGTGGGGTCCCAATTAGGAGACCTTCAGTTTTTGTGCTGTTTAGCTGGAGGAAGTTATCCGTCATCCATGCCCTTGTCTCTTCCAGGCAGGCGTTTAGAGTGGACAGTGATAGTGTAGGTGATGTTGGGTCTAGCCTGAATGTGATACCATGTATACCATGTGAGTGGAAGGAGAGAAGAGAAAGGACACGTAGGCAATTAAAATAGCTCTGGCTAATGTCATGTAACTTCTTCGTCTTTATACAATACTATTCATAAGCCATGTCAGTCTATAGTTCATAAATCACTCTGTGGTAGTGGTTGAAAATGATGGGTTTCTATGGGTCGTACATACATTTATTTCAACTCCTTATTATGATCTTGTTAAAGGTTGTTTACTCCTGAGAGTGAATGTGGCTTAGCAGCTCAATTGTATTGAATACGTCTTGTAAACTTTAAATCTTGAAAGTATATTTGTAACATTGAACTATAGTATTAATGAAATAAATGGCTACTTGAGTGAACTTAAAGTACATTTTAAATATTTTTTTGTTGTTTTACAAAAATACTGTACTATTGTATTATTTTAATGTTGACTAACATACCAAAGGGCTCTTGATTATTTTAACTGTTATTTGATATTATTTAATAGCCTATTTAAATGTACTAAATTGCAACTTCATAAAATGTGACGATGCAAATATATTTAAATATATGACATAAAATGCTTTGCCAGTTTCAACAGTACATTTTAGCCATATTTTAAAAACAATAAAAGTATGAAATATAAAACGCGCTTTGTAACATTAAATGTGAACATTGAGATTAAGTGTCCAATAACGATCCATTCAGTTCACACTTAAATATATTCTTTTCTTTTAATCTGTACTTGCTTTGCATAATGAAGGACCAGCCTGAAATTTTTTTTGAAAATTATTATTTTTAGCATGATTTGAGCTAAAGGAGCAAAATTGCCACACTCTAAAAAATGCTGGGTTGTTATAACCCAATTTTGGGTAAAATACAGACAAACCCAAACGTTGGGTTAAATTGAACCTATGGCTGGGTTTGTCCATATTTTACCCAAAATTGGGTTAAAACAACCCAGCATTTTTTAGAGTGAGATATAATATCTTGAAATGTAATCTTGACCAAACTAATCTTGGATTTTGAGGAGCTGTATTTATATGCCTATTACTTATCCATATAGGGGGAAAAAACTGCCTAGACGTTTTCAAGATGGCCGCTGAGTGAGCTTGGTCTTTTCTTGTAGCAGTATAGGAAAGTGAAAAAACACATCTTTACACCTTTCTCAGGCTCGTGTTAGTGTTGTTTACTTATTCGTCAATCTCCGTCTTTTATTTGACATGAACTATTTAAACTTCCTGGAACGACAGCGTTCAGCTGGATCATCTTGAACATTATAGAAACACAACACAACAAATAAACACCTACGCACATAAACCTACAAACATTCCTGACTTTGAAAGGTACCCAGACTGAATTCTGAAGTAAAGTGTGTGTGTTGAACGCATAAGGTGATGCTTTAGCACCGTATGGACCGCAAGCACTTTGTGAAGCCTATGAACATTTCAACCGCCTTTCATCTTCTAGAACAGAGCGAGAGAAAAGACGGGAGAGAGGCCGAGAGCGTAAGAGTGAGATATGTCATACCTGATCCAGTGCTTGGTAAAGATGTTTGTGCATACAGAGGCTGGTGGTTCTTGAAGATGAAGAGTGAGATTGTTCTCTGCATTCTCCAGATGAGCTGCTCCTCATCTCGCTCTCAGTCTCTCTATATGAGGGAAAAACATTGAGATGAAAGGCTTGTTGAAGTGTTTGAAAAATGGACTTTGAAATAGAAAAGGTCCTGGCTGGCCTATAAAAGAGAGATGAGAGAGTGGATGAGAAAGAGAATGCAAATATGAGAAACAGATGAGTAATGAAGTAGATGATTGGACAACACAGGCAGTCCATTAGAAATGAGCCATTGTAAAGACTACTAAACGGATAGAGAGGTGGATATGAATTGATCTACTACTGATATTATGAGTCCCTTCCATTTAATTTTTGTCTACTTATTATTTTATTTTTTTATTAATATCTCAGAGGATTGAGCCTTGGTTCATCCAGAAGAGGACATATTGGGCTTTTTGTGATTTCAGATATATCAGGGTGCATATGACCACTATGATGATATCAGTGTTATTGTAGTACACTTTAAAAAAAAATAGATGATCAATACATTATGACATTTGTTTTTACATTGCTTTACCTAATCAAAATAAGTTAGACCGTTTTCAGCTTCAGAATTTATACAAGATTCAACTATTTTTTTTAAAAGTCAGTTTAATGTCATTTTAGTTGAAATTATTTAAACATCTAAGTTTATTGTACTTAAGTTTAAGGCAGCAACTTTTTGCAGTGTATTATTTTTATACTGTTTAGTAGGCTATTTGTTTTTTTAGTTAAAAAAATAACAGCACTATAATATTAATTGAATGGTCCAAAAGTCTGACATTAATAGTTGCAATGTTTCTAGAAATGAACAGAAAAATCCATTACAAATGGTATTATCATCATTTGAGTGAAAAATGTAAATGTAACAATATATAGAAACATTATCAAAGTATAATGAAAAAATTATATAAAAACTTTTTTTCAATTCTAATAAAAAACTTTAGACTTTAGAAACTTAAATCCAAGATTTTCAATGTGATAGACTGTTCAGACACCACTATATATGTTGTAATAATGATGTGATATACCAAAAGGAAATATCAAGAAAGCAAATATACTGTATACAGGCTACATAGATTTGTTTAGGTAACACTGAGATTAAAGTCTTTGGTTTCTTCCTTCGACTTTTTGTCCAAAATTAACCAAATTTAAATGATAAATCAGTACTCGTAATAAAACCAGAATCAACATTGGATTGGCTTTTGCATTTGTATTGTATTTGAATTCATACACTGTAAAAACCAATTAGTTCCGTTTACTTAATTTTATTATGCAAATTTGTTGCCTTAATTTCATTAAGTAAGCATAACTTAATTGCATCAAGTTATTCTTACTTAATCCATTTAAGTTTTGTTAACTTAATTCTGTCTGTGATCTGAGGAAGTGTACTCCCAGAGTGCATTGGGGCATGAATAAATGAATTGTTTTTTTTTTTGGCTACTAAAATGGTACTCAAACCAGTCAAGTAATCTTTACACGTTTTTTCTGAGTATCGAAGGCATAGCATGCAAACAGTACAGATTACTAAGAAATGTTAAGTAAGTTCAACAAATTATTGGACATTAAGTAAATTTAACAAAAACATTCTCAGTAAGAACAATGTTAGATTTTACAGAAGAATTATATATTGTAACGCTTTCCTGGGTAAATATGAATAATTATGAAAAACACACTGCATGTTTTGTGTGCTACAAACAGTGTAAAAAAATATGTAAATGGAAACTGTTTGGCAAGGTCTCAGGAGAATATGACGATACTGCAGTGTCCTTCCTCAGAGCAGTGAGTGCCTTACACATCTGTTTTTCCACTCACCTTCATAAAGAACAGAGAAACAACACCACAACAGACATCTCTGGGGGGAAAAAACATATAATCAGCAATGAAAGTAAACCTTGGCTGGAAAGATTGTCAGATTACAGCAGTGAACTTGAGTCAGTTCTGTAAACAGCAATCACATAAAAGAATCAGAACAGCCAAACAAATGCTTCTGATCTCCCGCTCTTTCTCTCCAGTTTTGTAGCTCATTAAGGAATTCCACTTTAGTTTGCTATGCGCAGTTTTCTTTGCTATTGCCCAAATATCCGGTTGGGTCAACAGCATATAGGAGTGGAACTCAAAACTAACAGAATGTTAGGGAGGTTATGACAAGGTCAAAGCCTCTTTCCCCCTCCGGGTCAGAGGGGGATTTAAATAACGATTAAAGTAAATAACTCGGATAGCTTTCCCCACATTTAAGACATTTATTTGCGGATGAAAGGGCATCTAATCCCCTTGTGGCCACCTCACCTGACCGAGACAACTGTCCATCATTAGAAACTGTCACAATTTACTCAATTTAGTTTATGGCTGTTTTCTGTCAGATATGAACTTTTGGTGCATTTTTGAAAGTCTTGAATGTATTTAGACTAGACAAGTAAATCTAAAAAAAAATAATAAAACAAAACCTGTCAAGACGTATTTAGGCCATTATGCACCCCAAAATCAAAACTAAAAATAAACTTTTCTCGTTTGATGAAGAAAATCAATCATGCTCTACACATATTTTTAATGTATCTAAATGTATTATTTAAAAATGTATATTTATTTTGTTAATAACACTAGGATTATTTGTCTCATAGTACCTGTACTAAAATGTATTTTACATGCATTTCAAATTCAGACTGAAGGATTTTCAAATAATATAACATTATATATGTATATACATATTTGTTGTTTGTTTCTTATGGTTTTGGAGTGAAATACAAACTGACCATTTTTTCATGAGGTTCACCAAGACAAAAAATAAATTTGGCCAACTAAAATATTGGCATATATCCTGAGGCAGTGTTATTGAAATACACTTCAAAACGCTCATAAACAAACACGCAGCTCTCATATCTGCCAACCAATGTGGTGCCTTATTGTTTTGGTTGAATTATGCTTGCTTTTTGAGTGCTCTCATATGAACATTTTAATTATCTTGGAGAGTGACCGTGAATTGGACGAGTGGTTATTTTTGTCTCCTGAATGCAGGCAGGGCTGTGTAGTTAGGGCTCTAAGGTGCTTGTGACTTCATGAAAAGAGAAGGTCGTAAAGTCAAGCAGGGACTCACCACTCACTGACAGTTCTCACCGCGCAACTGTGACCTCCCTCCACCCAGGCTTGATTTGTGGTCAACTGGAGCACTTTTAAACCCGGGCTTTATGTGTCTGCCCAGAGACTAGGGTGTGTGTTCAAGGTCAGGTGGAGTTCAAGCATCCAGACTGCTCTGGTGTTCACAAGCATCTGCTGCTGTTCTTGGCAGTGATACTGCAGTGGTCCTGAAACCACTTCTGTCTTCAGTTCTGATCAGCCGTTCTTATTCGATTCCTCCCTCTCTTTCCTCACATCTCAAGTGGAGACGTGTTCATCTGTCTGTGGTCGTCTCTTGACACAGAGCTTCATCATTATTAATCTTTTGTATCTCTAAACCAAACACGGAGGAATCTGCAAACACATGTCTGCAGTCTTGGATTATTAATTGGCAAGATGTAAATATGTCACGGTATGTTTGAGCAGTGCATCTCCTTTGACTCGCTGAGGTTTAGCGGCATCATGTGCAAATCCATTTACTAGAAGATTGTGATGATACCCGGAACCCACTCAGGTTTTTTTCCCTGCTAGATTGTGCCAAGATTCATCTAACACATTTGTGGTTACTCAGAGCTGACAACAAACAGACAGGCACATATGTTCAACACAACACTATTTTTGAAGAATATAGATACAGTATGCATAGAATTTGCAATTCTTTATGTGGACGTAATACCTGGAAAAAAGTTTAAACAGATTTTTAAGAAAGAAACAAAATTGATCTCATGCAGATAAACAATCAGAATGCATGAATCAGAATGAATTACAAAAGTATTTTTAATAAACATTTAACCTTAATAAGACTGCACCAAGAACTGAGAGGGATTAGAGGATTAAATACACAGATTAAGGTAATTAACTAGAACAGAAACGGATTTCATGTGGTTTATTGACTTTCTAATTCCATTTAAAACGTAAACGTCAGACTTTGTTTTAGGAAACATGCTGAAAGTCTCTGCAGAAGGTTGTGTTGTTGCAAAGTGCTAAACAGACTCAAAAATAACTCTGAGACATTGTTAAATTTTATTGGTAATTAAATGTGTATTTTTAAAACATAAAGGTTTGAGATTTCTGTTCGCTTTCATAGGTTCACTCAACACTGCACAACCTGATCTCACGGGAATTCCAGCCCGATCTCATGAAAGTTCGTATCTATGGCACGAATGTCATTTCTCGTGGCATTTATACCCCAAAAACAGTTTTTGCGTGTATATGGCACGCAATTTTCGCGTACATATGATACGCACTTTTTTGCGTATAATACGCACGAACTCCCCACCCCCCTCCCCCCTAAACCTAACCCAGGGTTTTTTAGTGCGTACCATATACACGAAAAAAACACTTTTGGCGTATAAATGCCACGAGAAATGACACTCGTGGTATAGATACGCATCTTCATGAGACTGTGGTGGCTAATTTTTGCTAAATCATAAATATTTTACGAATTGGCCAATTCGTATGAATTCGTACGAATGACCTACCCCTGACCCCGCCCCTAAACCTCGATTTTTGCTAAAAAGTGCATATTTTACCAATTGGCCAATTCGTATGAATTCGTACGAATGACCTACCCCTGACCCTGCCCCTAAACCTACCCATCACGTGGGTTTAGACAAATGTACGAATTCGTATGAGTGAGGTCGTATGAATTAGTACGAATTCGCCACTTTTTAATCACTCGTACGAATTCGTACAAATTGGTCGTGAGATAGCGTTAGTATAGCTTAAGACGCAGTGGGAACGCCCTCTAGGTGTGCCGATTGTCTGAAGCCCCGAATCACGCCAATTCATTGGCTGATTGCGTGGCGCCGCCCGACGCTCTTGTCGTAATATTATATTGGGCACACACGCGCAATCTCCACCTCAGATTTCTCTGCCTTCATGAAGCAGCCATTTTAAGAACTTCGTTCTTGGTCTTTCTGGCCCAAATAATTCGAATTTATCATCAGCATTCTTCATCTGCACT